CACAGCACGCAGCGCTTTGCATTAAAAAGTGCAAAGCACAAAGGGAAGAGAAATTGATGCGTAGTGTATTATATCTGTGCAACAGTTATTGAGCCTTTCTTTTAACAGTTTTAAATTTCAGTTACTGTGCACGTTAAATACAATTTATAGTCTTTTCTACACCCGTGTTTTGTTCTCACAGACATCCGGTAGCAAGTAACAAAACATTAAAGGGCTCATATAAGACGATTTCATTTTTTCCTTTCTATTTAGAGTGTTACAAGATCTAGGTACAATAAGAAGATCTGTAAAGTTGCAAAGACTAAAGTCTCAAATCCGTATTCGGCCAATCATAACGCATTGGATAGCTGGCCAATCAGAGCACACCTCGCTTTTCAGACCGATTAGTTTTGTAAAAATCGACGCGTTTCAAAAAGGCGGGGCATAGAGGAGAAACAATAATGTACAGTATGTGGAAAATAATGTGTTTTTTTTACTTTAAACCGCATAAACAAATTTCATTACACCAAATACACAAAATAATGTTCTTTTTAGCAGCATCATATGACCCCTTTAAACTCCGGCAAGAAGATAAAGTTCTTTTTGCAAAATCATAGACATGTATTTACAAAAGTATAATGGGAACACAGAATGATCTTGGAGAGAGCTTTACCGAACTGACTGTCGTAACCGAATGCGACCAGGGTTTAAAGGCTGAACGAATGACTGACAGCCACAGCGGAGAAAAGAGTTTGTGTGAACTTTAATGTAAGGACTTAAATATTCATATGTAGCTCACATTAAGCTATGGTATGGCTTCAGAAGTAACACAGAATAATTCGCACAATCGAAAAAAAAAAAAAAATCTCGGATTTGGATCGGCTCTCTCTGACTGATACCCGATCCAAGAAAAATGGCACTATCAGAGCCGATACCCGATATGAATATCGGATCGGCGCCATCCCTAAAATCCAGGTTTGGTGTGCTTGTTTGTAGGGCTGCAAAATTTGGCAAAAAATGTTTTTAATTATATAGCAATATAATGACAACAATAATAATAATAATACTATATAATGTAAAAGAGCCTGTCCCTTTCTTTTGATATAGTTTATAGTACTATACAACCACTTCTGTTGATTTTTGCATAGTCTCACAGTCTAGAATTTGTTTTTGATGGTTTGTATGTGAATCTGTTCCATGTGTCTCTCTCTTTGGCTGGATCTTCTGTAGTTCCTTCTCAGTCGGTTAGTGAGCTGTCACCCAATCAGACTGGCTCTGATGTGCTGCTGTCTTGGAGAGCCACCGAGATGAAACAGCAGAGAGGCTTCATACGTGGATACACCATCTACCTGGCAAATGCTGCACATCTGGATCTCATTGGTAAGCACTTTCACACATAACAGAAATATGTGTGTTTGTATATATACATATATATATATATAAGCAAATAATTGTAGTTATGTAAATCACATAGTTTATATATTTAAATAATAGTCTTGTGTTGTGTGTTTCTAGCTAATATCACTGATCCTGAAGTGCAGTCGTACAGGGTGAAAGGTTTGTCTCTGAGCTCGTATAAGTTCGTAGTGAAGGCCTACACCTCAGCTGGGGAGGACGCGGGGGCCACTGTGGCCATTAAAATGGAGATGGACAGTAAGACATTGTGAAATTCCTTCAGATATTCTGCCATTGACTATAGCCTTATATTTGATATTACTGTTACTTTGTATGTGGATTTTTTTTTTTTTAACTTTAAATAGAACAACTAGTGACTTTGTCTTTTCAGATTGCTTTGATATTGCGCACAACAAATTAGATTATGTAGGTAGTTCACCTAAACTTCTCCTTTCTCTGTTCATCCAGCAGCTGACATGCTGTTTGTTGGCATTCTCGTGCCGTTGGGAATCATGTTCTGCTGTCTCATCCTCATCAGCATCTGCTGCTACAAGAAGAGAGAGTGGTAGGACTTTATTAATGTACTTTATTAATGTACTTTAATAGCATTTCCATCAAGTTAAATAATTTAAAAAACCCACTAAATCAATGAAACCTAAATGGCTCACAGTATGACCTGCAACATCTGACAGTGTTCTTTCTGTCTTACTGATCAGCAGTTAGAGTTATTTTAGTCATATATGCTAATGTATTAATTATTAAAATTTGAATTTTTTATTTTTATATTGTCTATTTTAATTTGAAAGTTTTAGTCATTTTGTTGCGTTTTTTCCCCCTAATGTTTAGTAGTTTAAGTTTTTTGACATTTGTCTATCAGTTTTATTTCAGTTTTAGTATTTTTAGTACTTCAGTTTTTAAAATTAGAAATATTGCCTTGGCAACTAACTGAAATAAAATAAGTTTAAATTTTTCTCTTTTGCTGCTATAAGATGAGACAGTGTTAGGACTTTATTAATGTGCTTTAACAGCATTTCCATTGTTAAATAATTTTAAAAATCCACTAAATCAAGTAATTTTGACCTAAATGGCTTGATAGTATGTGTGCTACAACTGAGTGTGTTCTCACGTCAGTGTTATCTTAGTATCATTAACTTACTAATGTAGTGTTTATTAAAATTTGACTTGGTTTTTATTTTTGTATTTTGCATTTTCAATTTTATTTTAAAGTTTTTTGTTGTTTTTGACTTTTTTTAATGTCTATTTAATTTTTATTAGTGGTGTCAATCAATTAAAAGAAAATGAAATAGTGATTAATCCCACCCAACATTAAAGTTTTTAATTATACTTTTATATTGCAATAATTTCACATTCAATCTTCATATTAATGTAGAAACAACATAAAGACAGTATATTTTTTTTATTTTTTTAATGGCATCTTTTTTATGACTGAAGGCGAGTATCACTGATACCAAAATTATCTGACACGCATCGGATTACCTTTTTCTGACTCACTCCAGGTCTTAAAGTCTCTACTAATGAGCAGACGATTTGAATGGGGTGTGTTAGATGAGAGAGACAATGCTGCTGCTCCAGGACAGTTTTCAGAGACATGTTCTTAAATGTGACTCATATATAACAAATACTTACATGCAGATTTTAAGGCAGCTTTATTTGCCTTTTTGGTAACTTCATGACTTAACTGACGACATAACTACGACATTGCATGCTTGTAGTTTCTTTCGTGCTTTAATATGAAATGATATAGGCTACAGTGCGCGCTGCCACATTTGTGCGTGCAATTGAAGAGCATGTGTTACGAGCACAGTATAATGGTTGACAGGACAGGAAAATTGTTTTTTAACTGACATATAGCCTGACAACATCTAATCTGTCCGCAGTTCTACTGAAGCTCCTCGTCACCTGTACCTTTTAATTTTGCGCTGGTTTGACTAGTGCCTGGTGCTGAGGTGAAGTTGGAGTGCGCGTCTGAAAAAAATGTATCACCTGCGTTAATGCATTAATTTTGACAGCACTAGTTTTTTATCAATTTTTTTTTTCAGTTTTCGTTTTAGTAATTTTAGTACTTCAAAAACTACTACTTTTAAAATGAGAAGTGTTGCCTTGGCAACTAACTGAAATGAAATACGTATTTTTTTCTCTACAGTACTTGTGCTAAAACAGACTGTATTCTTTCAGTCTTACTGATCCACATAAATCAGTTTTATTTTTAGTATCATTAATATACTGATATAGTGTTTATTCATATTTTGAATTATTATTTTCCACTTTTATTTAAATTTTACTAATTTAGATTTTTTTTATTAACTTTAGTCTGTTTTTATTTCAGTTTTAGTTTTATTAATTTTAGTACTTCAACTTAAACTGAAAGAAAATTAGGTTTAAATAAAAACTGAAATAAATTTATATTTTATTTAAAGGGGTGGTTGACTGTTTTTTTTCTAGGATTGATTGTGTTTATGGGGTGCAGTCTAACATGTGTTAATGCTTCGTTTGTTAAAAAATGCATTATTTTTCACATAATTTACCTTTATTCCACACCGCTCTGTCCCTTCTCCTCTGAACGCGCTGATCATTTCCTGCTTTTATGAAGCCCCTGCCTCAAAAATACACGATGGGCTCTGATTGGTTAGCTAGCCCAGTGTGTTGTGTTGTTGTCTCATACTTTTAGATACGCTGTTATTTGTAAATGCTACTGCTTCTGTTAGCTTTTAATATACGGTTTTATTCTGATTAAAGCTTTAATACAGTTCAGCAACCGCACGCGCGTCCATGTATAACGCTTCTTGGCGCGTTTATGTAAAATTCTGGGTTCTTGACGTAACGGACCCAGGAAGTAACTCGTTGTAGTCCCTACCAGTCGTTTTTGTAGGCATTAAACTGCCAGAATTTTAAAAGACGATATCTCCGTTTGCATTGAACTTTCAGCTTCGTAACTTTGCAGATATTGTTTATGCTCAAACAGCAACATTACACACTAACATTAAAAAAGTGAAATCGCAATCAACCACCCCTTTAATTTAATGTTTATTTTATTTCAATTAACTTAAATTTTAAAACTTTAAAAATAATTTTTAATTAACTTACAATGTAACAACACTGATGTAAATCAGTTATTAATGTGTCGCCTTGATGGTTTTGTATTATTTATCTAATTCCAGGGTAAAGAAAGCTTTCTATCCTGAAATCCCTGGACCTAAAGTACCTGGAGACTGGTCCTCCCCACAGGTAAAGCTTTTCTTGAGTAGTGGTTGCTAAGACAGGAATCACCGTTGCTATTGCTAACAACTTAGTGCTACAAACATAAATGATTCCTCAAATTGCATTGCTCTTGTTCGTGTTTAGGGTCCTCTGGATGTGAAGCCCTCTCCTCACAGTCTGGTCCACATTGTGGAGAGTCCGGAGTGGGATTTCACTAAGGAAGGTCTGTTCCCAGTACCAGAGGAAGAGGAGGAGTCTGAGAACGACAACATCGAGGTGGACACTGACTCGGATGAACCGGCCCTGCTGAGATACTACAACCAGGTGGTCGGTGACGGCTCACACAGTAACCAGGTCTCAGACTCCTCCGGTTCCTCGACCGCCTCGGTGGGCTCCACGCAGACTGAAATCACCTACGCTGGCATCCAGAGCCCCACCTCCTCGCAGGGGGTGTGCGGTGGCGGAAGTTACAGGCCTCAAATGCAGTCCGTCGCGGGTCCCAAAATCGAATTCGAGGCCGACTTCCAAGACGATGGCTTGAATACAGGCTACAAATCCCAGGGTTCCTGGCAGCTGGATTCTCCAGAGGCGGAAAACTTTAGCGGTTCGCTTGGCAGCCCTACATCGGTCACATCATCCCAGTTCCTCATCCCAGAATCCTCTGAAGAGAAACCACAGCCTCCAAACACCTGGTTCCACAATCTTCTCTCTGGAAAGTCCTGAGAACGCACTAGCTTTTGTTTTTCACGTTCGTTTGTGCCGTTCACCTTTACGAGGATGTTTTTCGGTTCGTTTTAGGGTTTGTGCCCTTAACTGGAAATCGCTCATATTTACGTAACCAACATCACTACTGTTTCTCAAGGACTTGTGATACTGACCAGAGAGGTAAAGTACTACTGAAGAGCTGAAGATGGCTGTATCTTCATGCGCTCGCTCGGGGCAGTATGATGTTTTGCCTAGGGAACGTCGCTTCTATTCATACGACAGTGTTCGTGCCTCTTTCTTGCAGTGTTATTGGAGTGATCGCAGTAAATCTACATCCTTGCAGCATTATATTGTGCGTACCATTTCATAGCTCTTTTTTTCAGAACAGTTTTGTAGCAGTCAGACGTAGGAGGTCCGAAAAGCAGCCCAAGTTCAGCAGGTTTGCACACATTTCTCTGCCGGTAAAACATGTTGATTTGCATTTCAAAAGTTCAAAACCAGTGCATTTAAGGCTTGTTCTCAAAACTGCATCGCTTTCAGTTGATTTAAAAAATTGTATGTAGCTTCATGCAACTTTTTCTCGAGTCTTGATGTCTGTAAGCAGACACGTGTTGAATAAGCTGACCGAACAAAAGGAAAATGGGAGAAACTTGCATCTCTGTTTTTTCTTAAACCGTTTCCCTGATTAAGGAAACAGCTGTTGAAGTGTTTTCATGATCTTACATTGTCAGCTTAATCTCTGTAAGATGCATGTAAGCACACTGTTACTGTTAAAGATGTCATGCAGCTAGCTAGTTGTGTGTATTTTTGATTAGTGGTTGACGCTCAGTCAGCATAACTGAACATCATAAACTCAGTCGGCAGAAAATGACCTTCTCTGCTAGGGCTGCACGAGTTTCAGAATAAAATCAAATTGCGATTTTTTTTATTTTTTTTTTCCGTCTTCCTTTCACTCCCTCTCTTTCTTTCTCTCTCTCTCTATTAAAAAAAATTGGGAGTGTGAGATTTTTTTTTTTTAAATCTCCAGGTTTGCTATGCTTGTTTGTTGGGCTGCACAATTTTGAAAAAAATGTTAATTATATAGCAATATGACTAATAATATTTGTGTTTAATTATAATTATAACTATTATTACTACTACTACTACTACTACTACTACTACTACTAAATAAAATATGAAAGAAAATAAGAAATATTACTAGTGTAATAATTAACTGTAAAAGAAATTAAGAAAAAATATATAGCAATATGACTAATGACATTTGTGTTTAATTAGAATTAGAATTATTACTACTACTGCTGCTACTACTAAATAAAATATGAAATAAAATATGAAATATTACTATTATAATATTTCACTGTAAAAGAAATTAAGAAAAATAATATTATATTTTTATATATTTTTACAATACTAATTTTTGTCTAAATTTCTTCATTTTTTTAAACGTTAAACCATCAAGCTTTTCTTTTGGTGGAAAACCATTAAAACTTCTGTTTTGTTGACGAGCAGCCTTTTCAATTTGATCATTTAAAAAAAAAAAAAAATTCGATTAGTCGTGTAGCCCTATTTTCTACAACATTTTTTCCAACAAAAGATCTCTGCTATTGGTCTAATAATCCAGGTTGTAGGATATTGGAATAATCTTTCTACTCTCTTCGTTTTTGCTTTCCAGAGGTCAGTAACATTTAATGAATTTGGCATTATCCGTACAACATGTGAAGCACCTTTTACTTTTATGAATGTGTCTTTGTATTTCACACCTGAAAGTCCTTCAGCTGAATATGGCACTCTCACGTCATAATACTCCCTTGTATAAACTCAACTATGTATCTAATCATAGATGCATCTGTCCAGGATTATATGTCTTGTGTCCAAGAGATTGTCATGGTTTTAAAATGACCACAGTGCCTCGGGAGCTCCAAGAACAGCACCTTCTTTCAGAGCAGTTTCCTTGTCATTTGGATTATGGGCCCACAATGGACCACAGGGTAAATTACTTTAACTGGCCTTACCGACAGCAGAGGAGCCTGCTATTCCTTTAGATTGGACTAACATACAGATATATGAGAGCTATATATCTAATGTTACTGTGAAGGCCTTTTTTCTGTGCACTGTGCATATCGCTAGTCCTCCAAAACCTTGTGCAGCAGTCAGAACAACAGATACGTCACAACAGATCTGTTCTATCAACAGATATGTCACTACAATGAGCCTGAATGATAGAAGTCGACATGAAATCAAAAGCGACCCTATTTACTTTATTAAATCGCATTGTTGGTGCTGTTGTGACATTTTGCTCCAGTATCGCAAGTCCTATTCCACTTTTCACCATCCAATCCATCTTTGATAGATAAAATCAAGCCCCACCCCACATTTTATTTGTGTTCCATATCTTGTTTCACTGTGAAATGTCATAGTGTGGAAGTAAAATGGGTCGCAACGCAATTTCACGTCGACTTTGAAGAGCATCAGATAGCAGTCATTAAACTCCTAATGTGGTGTGTGATTGAAAGGGCATTAGATGAACATTAAGAGTGAGGTTGTGAAGAAATATGAGATAGGTCAGCATCTACTGTTGCTTAAGCTTTAAACACTACTGTGAAAGATTTTATTTTGTTGGAATACTTGGTCACTAATATGTCATTTTTTTCAGTTATATGTAGAGATCTTTTAAAGAAGCCTACTAATGTTTATTTTTTTTGTTGCTTTTATGAATGTATAATACACAAATGTCAATGGGTATACAATGTTTTTGTTTTTTAACTGTTAAAGAATATGCTTCGAAAGCCTTAGCTGTGCATTTTGTAGCCAAGATGAGCATGTTATTAGGAGTAAAAATGTCAAATGAACCGATGTTATAGGCTGTCTCAGTAAAGTAGGCCTAATCTGAGATATATATACACGTCTAAATCAGATTTGAGCATTCAAGATGAGAGATCAGTAGGACGTCACACTACATGTATGAGGCGTTAATGTAAATATGTTAACAACACTGATGTAAATAGTTTCTTTTCTCTTGAGCATGAAGATCATCAGATGGGAATATTGCACCCAAGTTAATATTACATTAATATTATTGCCTTTGTATGCATGACAGATTCCACATTCAGCGTTCAGAGAGAAAGGAACAGATGAGCTATGAATGAGGAATATGAAATAATTCAATATAACGCTATACGAGTGCGTGTAAACACGTGTAAGAAAAAAACAAGATGTATCTGGGCTCCTATTACTCTACTGCTAATACACTAACAGAATATCAACCAGTCTGTATTATTATAGACAATAAATCCAAATCCAATAAAGTTTTTCTGTGATTATTGTGCCTTTGGACATTGCGTTGCATATTATTGCTTTTGTAAAAGCATTGAGAAATCTGTATGCAATAAAAGTGCAGGAATATTTGCTTTGTCAGTAATTCCCCTGGTAATGATTTTCTGAACCTCTAAACGCCGCTTTACCCGTATTCCAGTCTAAAATGGCGCAGAGCGTTGTTTAGTGCAGAGAGAGCGTTTGTTTCCTCCAGACAGGAGGATGGCAGCAGTGCTCATAAAGGAACATCTGATGTCGGTCATTTTCACCTCTATAAACCCACCACAACTTTCACCCTTCTCTTGTTATACTGAGGCTCTATCCTAACGCTTTAGCAACATGTTCAACATTCAGTTCTTTCCTTTTGTAGATCTCACATTTAAAAGTTTTTGGTTTTAAAAATAAGTCTTTCTATTTCTGTGGTGTTTCATATAAAGGGCTTTCTCCTTTACCAATAAAACACATGCACAGTTTAATATTTCCTCAGGAGATTGTGGAATTTTGAAGTTTTAATTAAAGTTAAATTGATGCATTTTCAAACCTCCAGCAATAATACATAGAAGGCTTATTAAAATGCAACTACAATTTTAATTCATATTCATTAATAAGTCTTTGGTGTAAGATTCCTGTTTGAGTTCATAATTTGGATCGAAACCTGAAGGATTTCAGTTGAGTATGAATAATTTTAAGAATAAATAGATTTTCAAGTTTATTTTTTACGGAGTTAAAATAGATGAAGCCCTCCCTGGAATACACTCAGATTTACATAAAGATTTTTTCGTCTTTTTTCTCGAAACCCCTTGTTTTTATCTTGAAATTGAGAATTCTGAAGAAAAAAAGTCAGAATAAACTCAGAATTCTGATTCCTCCCCCCATTTTTTCTCAGAATATCGAGTTTATATCAGATATAATATATATATATATCCATATAATATAATATAATATAATATATATATATGTGAGAATTCCTTTTTTTTTTCTTGCATGGTGGAAATCAGCTTCGATAATATTGATTTGATTTTTAGAAGTTTAAAATTTGTCTATATGTTTAAATTTTATATATAAAAATTAAATGGGGAAACATGCACACGTTTTTTATTTTACTGTATTTGATCAAATAACGACAAACAGATCATAGTGGCAATGAATATCTTTAGCAAAGATGTGGGAAATTTAGTTCACAAGGTACATCCAGTCTGCCGTGAATTCCATTCAGAAAATATTGGTTGGACCTCAGCGCTCGGCGCCTGGTAGTTCGGTTGCTGTGGCAACACCACGCCCAAACGAGACACTCCCCAAAACAAAATGAACTACACAGCTACCTAGATCAGTGTTTCCCAACCGGGGTGCCGCGTAAAAAAATCATTTTTTAATATTTTTAAATTGCTAAAATGTTCAAAAAAGCATTTATTATATAATATCCATTTCTGATGTCGCCAATAATTAGAGATGCACCGAAATTTCGGCTGCCGAAAATTAGTTCACCACTCAGGTTTCACTTTGACGTGGTGTGACGCTCTGCGTATTATCCCGCTCTATGCGTGTGCGCTCCGCTCAGTCGCTCCACTGTGCTACTGCAACAAAATTACCCAGCTGTAAAATCAAAACTTTGTTTAATTACCATTATAACTATCTCGCAATGTTTACATATGAATAAAAGCCTACATTAAAGTCTGTCATATAAATTGGTCTCTTCATTAGAAATTGGCCTACTGATTGCCACCATTGATGGACAAATTTTTTAAATAATATTAAAAATATCTTTATGACATCATATTCTGCAGTTCTTCCCTGCTGTACCGAATATCTACACTTTTCAAATTATCATATCGAAGTTAGAAATTCAAATATTGTGACAAAATTAATTTTGTAGGGTGCCACAAGTTTGTTAAAATTTCCAAAGGATGCCGCGACTAAAAAAAGGTTGGGAATCACTGACCTAGATTATCCTTAACGTTACATTTATATGGACATTATTGGCTTTCAAATTAAACGTTCAGAATGTCAGACATTGTCTCTCAGTGGCGGAATATAGAGCTCCGGCTGTCAAAAGTCATTGGTAAGTGTTTGTTGTGCAAGTTACGAAGTTATAGCTTTTAGCATATGGGTTAACGCGCCTTATCCATTCATAAATGTCTATATTTATATCTGACAGGTAATAATTGTGGCTGTTTTATTCGTCTTGTGAATGTCATATGTTTCTATGGTAGAGCCTATATTTTGATTTCTACTGTATTTTATAATTCTGTGTTTGTATTGTATCTATGCAATAGATAGACAGATTTTTAAAAATACACTTCCATTCAAAAGTTTGGGATCAGTAAGATTTTAAATGTTTTTTAAAGAAGTCTCTTCTGCTCATCAAGGCTGCATTTATTTGATCAGAAATACAGAAAAAAACAGTAATACTTTGAGATATTATTGCAATTTAAAATAATGGTTTTCTATGTTAATATACTTCAAAATATAATTTATTCCTGTGATCAAAGCTGAATTTTCAGCATCATTACTCCTTCAGTGTCACATGATCCTTCAGAAATCATTCTAATATGCTGATTTAATATCGATACTGGAAACAGTTTTGCTGCTTCATTTTTTTTTTTTTTTTTGGAACCTGTGATACTTTTTTTTTAGGATTCTTTGAT